TAAAATAAAAGACAGAAACAAGAACCGAAAATTAATAAAGTCAAAAGGAGTATTCTCATAACGGTCACCGTCTTATCTGAGAATTTCGACCTGAGTAACCACGATGAAGCATATCGGCAGCCTCTGGCAATCACAAGCTCAGGATCACTTAGGGGTAGCGTGACAGGTGGTGAGCAGAGTTATCTTCAAGGAAAACAAGACTCCCTCATCGCACAGGAATGCAGAGGCGCTGTTGAAGTCACCAGCGCTATTCCCACTCACGCGTCCCGCTCACATGCACCAAGGAAGAAGAGTAGCTGTCTGATGTTGAGCGACCTCTTTTAATCAATGAGCGACGAGATCAAGCGGCTAAGCAACTGTCTCGGCACTCATCAGAGCTTCTTGGAAAYTTCCCATGATAATCGCCTCAGAAAACGTTTTCCCGAGAGTTATCTTGACCGCTCGCAGAAATGGTAAAACACGCTGAGCCCCGTTGCCCAAGAGGCGAGCTACGTTGACCTCTCAATCACCTCTCACAACCCTACTGTCTGTCTCACGTCACTTACACTCGTACGCCGCTAGTTACAGTCGTTTCTCAGGCTCGTCACGTACTGGATTTCACTTGACGTCATCATCTTCCACCTACTCACGCGTTCCGCTCTCGCCTCTTCTCTTCTTTCCCATTGACCCCTCTCCGTTCTATCAGACTGCCACGCGTGCATCGAGCGCGCTGCCCGCTCTCACCCACACATCTCTAGTTGACCACCCTCTTGCTCTTCCCAGGGCGCGCCACTTGTCAGACGAGTCCCCAAGCATGTCCCTGTCCTCCTGCACTTGCCTCTGTTTCAAGATTCGTCATGTTCCCCCTCCCTGACGAGCGCTGTAGGCTCACTCTCTGTTCTCGTGCACTGCCCGTTAGCTTTGACGTTAACCGCCTCTCTCCCTCTCACTCGCACTTCGGTGTGCCACGCATACATCTGTCACCCCTCGTGCAGCTGCCTCACGCACGTCCTTTCCCCTTGTTCTGCTGCTTTTTTGTTCCGCGGCCTCTGGGCGTGAGTTGTCGAGAGTTGGCCTCAGGTCCTTTTTCCACCGGCTCCGCGACTCGATGGTGCTTTTGGATCTCCTTGGGTCTGTTCTAGGACCTGAGGTCCGTTTCTCGGTCCGCCTCGCTCATTTCACTCTCCCCGTCTGAGTCTCTCTCGTTGTGCTGTTCCTCCCTTGTCTCGGTCCCAGTTGATGACTCGGTCTCATGATAGATGACTGTCACCCTCAAGCCCACGGTCACCCCGTCTCGTTTACACCTCCGTTCCGCCCTGTCGCGCGCTTCGGAAATGGCAGCCTGCAGCCTCTGGTTACCTCGCATCTCCTCCTCTCTCCCCCCTTCTATGCAGACCTTCAGTCGGACTACCTCTCCCCCATCATAGTTCAGGGCCGTCGTAATCAAAGGACCTTACCCCGACACTGGAACCCAGCGCACCATGTGCCGCCAACTGCAAGGCCTATAGCCGTGTAGCGCCATGACTGGTCTCAAAATCAGACAAAACCTTGGTCCTAGGCACAGACAATCGACATCCGCTAAACGCCCGCTATTTTGTATCCTTCACCTCGGTCGATTGACGCTCGCACACTAAAGTGGCTGGTGCACTAACGTCACGAAGCAGCCCACTAGCGCCCTCCTAATCAGCCACTAAATAGCCAAGTCTCAGTCCTCTTTTTTTCCTTTTTTATACGGTCGGCCGTATGCTGTGACCCCAACGTTCTAAACGAGGTACCCTCTGAAACTCTGCTCATCAGTAACCTGAGGCCATATAATTAATTAAATGAAATAAGCAATAGAATAAAAATAGATCAGAATAAAAATAGCGAAGTCTCAGTGACCACCGGCGACTGCAGACTTTCTGCTATCGACCCCTGTCGCTTCGCCTCGCCGAGAAACGACGACAACCCTGAAGTGGTGGTCCCATAACGAGATCCCGACCGTCCGGGTTTTCACCTTAAAAGAGAGCACTGTGCTATTTCTGTTGGGTGCCCATGTCCGATGGAAAGGAGGGGGCTTATGACCCTCCACAGGGGGGGGTGATAGGCCTCCTACCAATGCGGCCGCGGGTCGCCCTCCTTTTGAGGTCCTGCCGCGCGATGCCAGATCCAAGCCCACCCACATACTGTATACGTGGGGTCGACCTACTTAGGCCACAGATAGGTGGTTCAAAATTAGAACCGTTGGCTTCCCGCGAAAGGACAGGCCAACAATCAGAATTCAAAATTAGAGAACTAAATAATAATAATAAAAATAAAATAATGATAATAACCACAGAAAAAGGAAAAGAAAGGAAAGGGCTGCGTCCCAAAAATCTCTCTGTGCATCAGCCTCGCCTGAACCGCGCCCTGAGCTCACACACGAGTCTGAGATTCCATTTTCCTTCTTTTCCTATTTTCTTTTTTTTTCCTTATCTTTTGTTCTCACTGTATCTGCTTCTTAACCTGGCCACCGGGGTCCGTGCGGTTCGGACAAGTAGGTCTAGTACAGGTGATATACAAAGGATCTGTAAACCCAGGCCATAAGACCGCAGTTACGATCCGAAACCCGAATCGGCGCCCCTTTCCTTACGAAGTGACAGGCTGACGGGCGGAAACCAAAAAATAGGGAGTTTTAGTGGTTATAACAACAATAATAATAATGATGACGGCAGTTCAAAATCGGAAAGGAAACCATAGCATCACAGCGGCCTGAGGCCACCAGATTTCCCCATACAAAAGAAAACGAGTTTTGATTTGACATTTTATTCTCCTTTTTCCGACAGCGATTGCACCTAACCCATAACCCTGTAGAGGGGATCTCAGCACGCGACAAAAAAAACCGCGCCAATCCTTTCACTTCCGCGTCCCGGGGCGAACCCGGCGGCTACCACGGTCACACGCCGGTTTTACTCTGCTGTACAGCAGGGCGCCGAGCCTGCGTGGACCAAGGGAAGTCATGTGGCGCACCCCTTTTGCTGAAGGCAACGCCACCGGGACTGGTCCACATCATACTATAGCCCAGGTACCAGGTAGGGACTTGACACACAGAGGAGGGCCGGGACACTGCGCCCTCCGACACCGCGCCCATGGCCCGCGCAGATTCGCGCCGCTCCAGCAGTGGCCCACGCTCCCACTCGCAGATTGCTGCCTTCCCGCGCAGCCTCTTTACCCAGCGCGCGGCTCTCTTCGACCGCTCGCGAGCTCCTCTTTCACGGGCGGCTCCGCTTTTCCGCACTTCGTTCCTCCCTTCTCTCACTCTCTTCCTCTCTCTCTCTCTCTCGCGCGCGCAAGCGCTCAATCCCGTTGCTTCGTGCACAGCCTGCTCATAGCGCAACGGCCCCATACCACCACGCAGCCCGTTTCCCCGTGCGCGGCTCGTTTCCACGCGCGCAGCTAAGACGCACTCCATGCGCATCCCCGCAGCTCGCCATGGTGTAGTCGGATCGCCCTCTTGCACGGATCTCTCTCTCTCTCTCTCTTTCTCTCTCCCGCCCGTGCTCCCTTTCTGGTACTGCACGCAGGGTTGTGCCAAGCGCATGAACCTGGACTTCGGGGAGGGCTAGATCCTTGCACTTCCAGCAGGAATGTGGACGCCCTCTCAACTATTATCTGCCTACGAATTGTCGAACCAACTATTGACGTCAGCACCCACCGAAGTACTTGAAGATATCGCCCGTGCAGCCGATCGCCAATACCAGGTATGCGCCCTCACTGCTATCTCCCTGTCGCTCTCCACGTGTGCCCGTCCCGGTTCGCTCGTGATTGGACTTACAAGCCCCGTACGCGAACGGGAACCGGGATCTTTCCTGGTCTGTGCATGGCTCCCCTATTCGCTGCCCGTGCCGTATCAAAGCCCCCGCCATGTCCTCTCCGTACGCCATTGTACCTGTTTCTGTGCGCTTGTTCTTCCGGTACTCCCTCCCCGCTGGTCCCCCGTGCGTCCTGAGCCAGGGCACTTCGTGCCCGGCTCGTGCGCCCTTTCCGTGCGCCAGGGAGCATCCCCCGAACCCGGGCCCGGTTGGGCCTCTATAGTTTGCTGGGCCCAGCCTCACGAGGCTCCAGCAGGCCAGAGTGCTGCCAAAGTCGGGAACTTTGCAGCGCCCCGGTACCAGGCCTGGCTCCCGAACCTAGCCCCGGGCCTGTTTGGATCCCGAATGGTCACATGGCAACCGAAAAGAGCTCAACTGTCGGGAATTTTGAAGGCCCGGCTTTCCCGAGGCCGTCTTTCGGCTGTAGGGCCCGTCGCTCTCTCTTCAGTGTCGGCTCATGTCCCAAATGCTAGGGCCTCATTAGAGTCGGTTTAGTGACTACTCCCGTTTTCGGTTCCGCGACACTCACCTACCTCCCATTGTCGTAAACGCTCCTCAAACGCCCGCCGCAAGAGCCGGATGCTCCTTCTCGTTCCACATGTCGCCAAGGCTCGAACATGAATTCCTGTCTCCCCTCCTTGTCACTCGTCCGATGCTTGCGGTCTCTTTTCTTCCGCTATAGTTATTAGATTCTCTCTGGCCATGAAATCCTCGGTGTCCCTTCGAGAGAGTTCTCCCTCGATCAGCGGATCACATTCTTCTAGCCCCTCGGCTCYRATGTCTTCCCCTTTTAGTCTTGCCTTCGTMAATCTTGAGAAAGGAAGTGTTTGAATTGGTCGCTTAGTTCGGCTCCGGCCACTGCCAGTCATCTTCGTCAAGGAAGTAAAGGGCGGCGTAAGGCTTGGGCTGCCCGACAGCAGCCCCGCCCCCATTCTCGACGTCCCTGGCGAGCCATTTGAATTTGAGATTGCCTGATAAAGGAGAAAAGAGAAGGGGACCGGTCGACACCTAATCCGTACCCGATCAAACCCCAAAAGGGCATCCCTTTTATGATATTCTTTCTTTCTTTTCCTTTTTCTACGTCTCTTCCCACTTTCGTTTCTTTTTGCTTTCCGCTTTTTATCCCTGGCTCGTTCTCTCAACCACTCCTGCGTTGCCTGACTTCGGCGGACTTTGGTTTTGTCTCGCCACTTGTGGAAGTATAATTTACTTTTGCTCACACGCTTAGTCGGCAGGATCAGTTTGATAAATGCTAAAGTACCTCCTTCTTCAAACATCAGGCCTTTGAACTTCCGAGTTTTACCTCCTCCGTTCACGAGCATCCTTCCCCTCCTTGCACCCATTTTCCACCCAATCATTAAGACTTGAAAGAGTATGAGGGAGGGTCTTGTAGGAAAGGCATTGCATGACAGGCTTCTACAGACCCATAAGGACCATAGTTCACCCCTCGCGCCACCATAAAGATCAAACGTAATGAGACGATCAGCTATGCCAAGTAAGATGCCGAAGTTAAGGCTGCAGCGGCAGCACCAACAGTGGAAAGTACGAGCATAAGCTGACACAAGGATGATTAGCAAGAGAAAAAGGAGACACAAGTCTACATTCCAACCTCGCACCCTTATCCCAAGTGGAAATCCCGCGACCCAATTTTCAGTCTTGACCGAATCATTGTCGTCAATAACGGATTCTTTCACTTGGAGTCCTTCCTTGAGTTCTGACAGTTCCTTAAATCCTCTTGGCATGCTTCTAAGATGGTCAGCATCCTCAATAGACTTAACCTCCACGATGGTTTTTCCTCGGCCTTCTTGGTCAGATGGAAGTCGAATCCCATAGTCTTGACCTTCCAAAAGGCCGCCATCCGATTCTCGTTCAACATTCACAGTCGTGCTTTGATCCATTATGAAATTTCCAATATCTTTCATAGTTTCCAGATTTTGGCTCGCAACTGTCTTAACACTATTCCCAACATCGTTTCCGGTCATATCAATGGTCTCAAACAGTTGTGCAAGCTCATACCTGTCGTACGGCTTGACGGTCTCAAACAATTGCGCAAACTCATTGCTGTCGTCCGGCTCGACGATCTCAAACAGTCGCGCAAGCTCATAGTTTCCGTCCGGCTCGACGGTCTCAAACAGTCGCGCAAGCTCATAGTTGTCGTCCGGCTCGACGATCTCAAACAGTTGCGCAAGCTCATAGCTGTTGTCCGGCTCGACGGTCTCAAACAGTCGCGCAAGCTCATAGTTGTCGTCCGACTCGACGGTCTCAAACAGTCGCACAAGCTCATAGCTGTTGTCTGGCTCATTCATGACTTCAAATGCTTGTGAAATTTTGGCGCCTACAACTTCGCCGAGGAGATTTTTCTCATCTTGATCCTCTATCAACTCATCTTGGGCTTCTTCAGTACGTTTCAAGTCTTCACGTTCTTCATCTATCGTTATCGTCTTCATTGTCGTGGTTCGATCTGCCAATGCCCCCTCCATAACCCTCGGATCTTCGCCCTTCAGCGAAATATTAATATCAAGGCTAATATTATCGGCTCCATTTTCTTCTGATTCCTCACTCACTTCCTTAGCACACACTAGAGCTGGGTCAGAATCCTCCTCGCAACTCTCAAACCGAATACTCGAAACCCCAACCGTCAGACTATCATTCGGGTCTGGGTCCTCCTCAAATTGGACACTAGATACCCAGAACTCTCCCTGCTCTGGCTCTTCTGCTGTCCTCACTACGTTGCTAATACCCATCTCGGAGTCCGTGGAAATTCGACAACGTATATCTTCCTCCTCATCCTCACTTGTATTCCGGTCCTCCTCAAACCTGACACTCGGCACCAGATTTCTCCCTAAATATCCTGAATCACCTCCTGGGTTGTTCCTGTTTTGACGTCAGTATTCATCTTCGTAGAAGGTCCGCATGATACATCTTTCTTGTCATTTGCACATTTGTCATTCGCACATTCGATCTTTCTCCACTCATTCAGCTCAATGGTTTTCCCACAGTCTTTTTCTCGCCTGTCCTGAGGTCCTTGTTGTAAGGGAATCTTCAACGATTCCGCGCTCCTCTGAGGTGAGACATTCTATATTTTCTTCACCCTCTATCATACGGCCCTTAGGGCTTCAATCTCCTCGACCGTTTCCCATCCTCCCCTATATGATCTCCTTCGCTCTTTCGCTTCTTCTCTACTTCTCCATCGCCTATCTCGAAATCCCCTACCGTCGTTCTTCTTCCAGTTGCCACGTTTTCCTCCTTTCCATTCCCCACTATCTCTACTTACTTTACTTTTGTCAGGCGGCATGAACTCTCTTCCATCCTCATCACTGAATTGTTTTTCTAAATGACTTCCGGGTACTCCTTTCCTTAGTTTCTCCAACACCCTACGTAGATGAGTTTTGGCATCCGGTCCCCCAGTCTGCAAAGCCAATGCCCTTGTCTGAGCGAACGTCACCCATTTAGTAGGCATGCTCTCCATAACAAACTCTCTTCTCTCGATAGGCAGAGTCCCCATGAATATGCCGCATCGTTCTATCTCACCGAGAAACCCATTTTCTATCAATGGTTCAGATGCCGTCTCAAAGCGTCTCGCAAATGCCACTAACGTCTCTCCTTCCTCCTTCTTCATCTCCTTTAAGTCCTCGATCGAGTAGAAGATGTCGTCACATGCAAAAGCTCGAGACAATCGTTCTCTGAAAGTTGCCCACTTCCAATCCTCGGGTATAGCAGCACGCACGTCTTTGTCTAGTTTGAGATCGGTATGATTAATGAATCCCATTATCGCTTCCCGATCAGTCCATCCTGCTCTCAAGGCATAAACTTCCCAGTCGTTCAGGAATTCTGTTACCCGATGTCCCGTGAAACATAGAGGCTGACCGGAGTACGGTGGTTGGTAAAACAAAGGACTGCACAACGGTCCGCACGCCGTAGCATATGGACTTGCTTTGCATGGTGGCTCACATCATCCTTTTCGCCAAGTCTCGCCCTCAGGGATTCCTACTTCGGTTGCCACCTTTACATGAGGAGATCGGCTTTCAATTTCACTATCCCACCTTTCTCCTCCATCAAAATTCTCCACCGCCGTCTTTCTCTCAGGAATATTAAGCTCACTCCTCATCTCCGAAAGATAAGCCTTCTCCATAACTTTCCGGCGCTCCCTTTTCAACACTCCATTAACCTTACTAATCAACAAAGAGATGGAAGGTTACTCTCTCAGACTTTGTGTAGCCCAACCCGACTAATGAGCTCATAGATCCCCACGACAGGCCTCCACTGGACCCGCCTATATCCCTGACGACGTCAACAGGCCTAGAAGAGAACCGCCCTCTGGCGTATCTCCTCCTACCCTCATGTCGAAAGAGAGGCTAATCCCATGTCGCCATCATCGCTGGCCTACCGATCCCGAGAGCAATCCCTTGACGCGAGCCGGCCAACTCGTGCGTCATAGGGTCGGACCGAAGTCACACGCTCACAGAACGGCGATATCTCCCTCGTGCAATCCTATCCGGCACCATGTCTCTACTCGGCCCACCTCAGACATGGATTTACCCGGGACGCTTTCCCCCGACACTGTGTAGTGTCCTAATCAGACCTCCCACTAGCAATCGGATCAACTAGCCTGTCTGTTTCCCCCAACTCCTTGCGATCCGAGACGCTTCTCCCCTCCCCTTCAGTCCCTCCAGTTCTTCCCCTGCTTACAATTTTCACTCAAAGAGATCTGAAGCAGGTGGACTGACAAAGGGTAGGGAAATCAGAAGACAATCTCCCTCCAATCACAAGAGCATGCCAGAGGAATTCCATGCAGAAAACTGAAATGCAGAAATTGCAATACTAAGAATATCTCACCGGGGTGTCGAGATGGGTCGAACGGCCAGTCGCCGCCGCACTCTCGCCGCACCCTGGCATTTCCAAGGGAAACAATACCGACGTCAGTAATGGAGTTGAGCGCCTCGATCACCAACGCCTTCCTCACCTCTTCGGTTACAGGCGGACCAAAGTCCCGAGAGGCAGCCTTCCCCGGCAACGACGCCACTGTCAATCGGAAGAAGGGCTCTGTCGGCCTCCAACACTAACCCTATGTCTCGCGCCGCATCTGTCACCCACGGGAGGGTTGGTTGGGGCTCCTGTAACCTGCAAGAAATCAACCTTGTCAGTATCACCAAAATATGCTAACACCGTAATATAAGGCAAGAAACTGCTGACGACGAAACAGATCGTAGAAATGATTGAAACGAGTGTTTTAATTTAATTCAAAATAGTATGAAAGTTCGCACTGCGACGAGGCCCTGGGTCTCGTCCATAGCACGAGTCCGTAAAATCCGTCTGAGTCCCAACGAAACCCGGCCCCGTCATGAAACAGGCTTGATACGGCAAATAGGCTCGACACTTGTCGGAGAGGCGATATCTTGGTTCACCCAAGTGTGCGACTAGGACTTGCCTGGGTCCAAATCTGGTCTGGTCTGGTCTGGTCCGGTCGGCCTGATCCGGTCTAGTCTGAGCCAGTCTGGACTGGATCCGATCAGGCCCGCTCTGATATGGTCTGATCTGGTCCGATTTTGGTATGATCTTGTCTGATCTGGTCTGGCCCGGTCTGATACGGCCTGGCCCGGGTCGGGTCTGGTCTGGTCTGTTGTGATGCTGTCTGGTCTGAACTGGCCTGATAGGTCTTCTCTGGTCTGGTCTGCCGCAGTCTAGTCTAGTCTGGTCTGGTCTGGTCTCATCTGGTCCGGTCTGTTCCGGGTCTGGTCTGATTTGGTCCGGGTCCCGTCTGCTCTGGCCGGTCTAGTCCGGCCTGATCTGGTCTATCCTGCCAGTCCAGTCTGATCCGGTCTGATGCAGTCTGCTCTCGTGTGGTCTGTTCCTTCTCAGTTCGGTCTGATCCGGTCTGATGTAGTCTAGTCTGGTTCTGGTGTGATTTTGTCTGGTCTGGTCTAGATCGGTTGATCTTGTCTGATCTGGTCTGCCTCGGTCTGGTTCCGTCCGGTCTTATCTGACATGGTCTGGCTCTGCCCGGTCTGATTTGATCCTGTCTGTTTCTGGTCCGGTCTGAACTGGATCGGACTGATCTGGTCTGTTATGCTCTGGCCCCAGCCCGATCTGACCTGGAATGATCTGGTCAAGTCTGGCTAGATCTGGCCCGGTCTGGTCTGGCTCGGGTTTCCGCTGGCTTGGTCAATCGATCAAGGACACCCGCTGGTGAGTGCAGTCCCGGCGTTCCTTCCTCGCCCGTCTCCCTTAGCTGTGGCTTGGCAGTACAATGGGTAGGAACAACTCCTTTCTCTCCAACCCACCCATGCACGTTACTAATTAGACGACGAGGCATCTCCCCCCATAGTAACTAGGATCGAGTTCAACAGAGTCTTCCCTCCCCGCGATTCTTCCAAAGCTTGTTCCTTCTGTTATGGGGTTGCGGGATGGTAGGTAGGCACCGTGGAAGTCTAGGTACCCTTGTTTGTGTGTTACTCATTTGGGTGACGGCTTTAGGGGAGTGGCAGTAAATTAGTAATTCATCCTCGCCTGCCACTAACCAGATGACGAGGCTTTTGGCTACCTTAAGAGAGCCATAGTTCCCTCCGCAGATTGGCCGTGTTCGGCTGAATCTCTTCACTTGGATACTCAGAGCACTTGGGCAGAATCACATATTGCGCCAACGTCCGATGGGAGGGCTCACCCTCTCCCTCTCCCCCTCTCTCTGTGTGTATGCCGTGTGCGCGCACAAAAGCGCTCTCAATGTGGCACGCCTCGCTTACTCGAGGTCCTCTGCCCCTCGCCACGCTAGCTCCGTTGCCCCGCACAACAATTTTTCCCGCGCGCAGTTCCCTCCTTGCGCGACAACTCTTACTCCTACGGGGCTCTCTCTCTCTCTCTCTCTCTCTCTCTCTCTCTCTCTCTCTCTCTCTCTCTCTCTCTCTCTCTCTCTCTCTCTCTCTCTCTCTCTCTCT